GCACGGGCACGCACTAGAAGATTCGGCTCCAACGGTCGGACGAGAGGCGATCACGGGCACGAGACGATGATACACATTATGAATTACGATACGACGACTAGTAATTATTCAGACGGTACTAGGGTTCAATCACTTATATCCGGATCTAGAAAAATACTCGATTATCCGAACCGAATAACTAGGGTTTCTGATTCTCAAAAATCCTAACTCGTTTAAGGCCGATAATTATGATATATATTCTAGGTGATTTATATCAATTTTATAATCAACTACTGCAGCTAAAATCATGTCCAGCAAATATAATAAAATATCGCGAAATGAGGCTAATGTCTCGATTTTTAATTTATATCAAATGGTGTCCAAACATTACGAAATTCGAAACACACCATTTTCAACACCTACATGGTTCATGGTCAAAATATCGAGTCAAAATTCAACTCCTAACTCATTCAACTCTCAATCGCTTCAACCGGTCAAATTCTTTATAAATCGCGTTCGTCTATTAAACGAACTCTAAAATTTCTCAAATTTGCACCTAAGCCTCAAGACAACCCAACAAATTTTATAAAATTTAATTTATTATTTTATCTCACTTATGTAACAAGTCCGAGAAATTCGTTTTAAGCTCGTAATTATCCCAAAATTTCAAATCGCTTAAATCACCCGATTCATATATTTTATATTTACTCATTAATCTTAGCTAAGCCATTGGAGATATGTTCAAGCCATTTTACCTCAAATCGGCTCGAATTGGAGAAATCGAAAATAAATCGAGCCACATAAAAATGGATCGACTAGCAGAATAAGTCAGGGCTGCTGAAAATGGGTCGGTTCCGTGCAGCTGGGACGGATCTGGAACTGGTCGCCACGGTGGAGGTCGGATCTGTGGCTTGCTGGTACGGGTTTGGACCAGGGCAGCTCGAGTCTCGACTGGGATGGCTCGAACGTAGTCGGTTTAGGCTGGACAGAGGTGCACGGCTGCTGGAGCTGCTGAAACCGACGGGAACGACGCCAAGGACAGCGGAGCTGTGGTCGCCGGAACCTGGACGAGAGCTGACGGGACCGGAGCTGCTGGAATCGGTCGTGATGGCTTGGTCGCAGATTCGCCAGTGGAGCTTTGTTAATGACGGACAGGAGCTGAGCACGGCGGTTGCGA